GCTCTTTGATTTTAAAGTTTGGGGTCTGCCTAGAATTCTATCTGATCACTGTCCAATCCTACTTATGGAGGACCAAAGAGATTGGGGCCCTAAGCCATTTAAATTTTTTAATTCCTGGTTCTTGCATCCTGGCTGTTTGCCTTTGATTAAAAAGACTTGGATGGAGGCTCAGGTGGTTGGTTGGGCAGGTTTTGTTGTTAAAAAGAAATTTCGCATTCTCAAATCCAAGTTGAAGGAGTGGAACCAGGAGGTCTATGGATCTGTTGATTGTAAAATTAAAGTAGCTGAAGCTGAGCTTCATTCTCTTGAACTAGAGGCTGAGGGTAGAGGTCTAAATGATCAGGAAGTTAGAAATAGAAGAAATATCCTTGGAGAAGTTAGGAGATTGAGGAAAATGGAGGAGTGGAATTGGCTTCAAAAATCTAGATTGAATTGGGCATTAAAGGGTGATAAGAACACCAAATTTTTTCATGCTATGGCTAAAAGTCGTCAATGCAGGAACATGTTGGATTGTATTCAGGTTAATGGTAGGGATGTTATGCTACCTAATGAGTTAAAATTGGAGGTGGTAAGGCATTTTAGGTGTTTGTTTCATGAGAGTTGGAAGCATAGGCCCAAGCTTGGTGGTGTGCTAAAATCTATTAATACTGACTCTGCAGCTGATTTGGAGGTGGTGTTTACTGAATCTGAAGTGTGGGCAGCCATCAAAAATTGTGATGGAAATAAGGCGCCAGGACCGGATGGATTTAATGTGTATTGCTTTCAGAAATGTTGGAGTATTCTGAAGCAGGATTTTATGAATTTTATGTCAGAGTTTCATGAGAATGGCAGGTTGGTCAGAAGTTTGAAGTGCTCCTTCTTTACTCTTGTCCCAAAGAAGTCCAATCCATCAAGTCTTTCGGATTATCGTCCTATTTGTCTTATTGGGGTAGTCTACAAAATTTTGGCTAAGGTATTATCTTGTAGATTGAAGAGGATATTACCTGAGGTGATTAGTGAAAATCAGTCCGCATTTTTAGGGGGAAGAAATATTTTGGATGGTGTACTCATTGCAAATGAGATTGTAGATTGGTGGAAGAAGACAAAAACTAGAGGTGTAATTCTCAAGTTGGACTTTGAGAAGGCTTATGACACAGTGAATTGGGAATATTTGTTTGATATGCTCCAAAAATTTGGTTTTGGTGCTAGATGGATTGGATGGGTTAAAGCATGTGTGACCTCTCATAGTATATCGGTGTTGGTGAATGGTTCTCCTACAGCGGAGTTCAATCCCCAGAAGGGTCTTCGGCAAGGTGATCCACTTTCACCTTTTCTATTCAATATCGTAGCAGAGGGCTTGAATGTTTTGTTATCCAGAGCTAAGGAGATTGGATTAGTTAGAGGTGCTACCGTTGGTCCCAATGATTTGGCTGTTTCCCATTTACAATTTGCAGATGATACTATATTGTTTTGTGAAGCTGATTGGAGTGAACTTATCACCATTAAGAGGATTCTGAGATGCTTTGAAATTATTTCAGGTCTGAAGATTAATTTTCAAAAAAGTGTTGTTTGTGGTGTTGGAATTTCGACCCAACTAGTTAAGGATTTCGCGGTTAGACTGAATTGTTCTTATCATGTCCTTCCCCTGGTTTATCTTGGCTTACCTCTGGGTGCTAATCCTCGTCGAAAATCAACATGGAAGCCTATTTTGGATAAGATCAAAGTTCGGCTTGCAGGATGGAAGAGGAGAGTGATGTCATATGCTGGTAGAGTTACCATGATTAAGTCAGTTCTATCTAGTCTTCCAGTTTATTACCTTTCTTTGTTTAAGATGCCTGAGTGTGTTGCTAAGTCAGTGGATAGGTTGCAAGCCTCTTTTTTATGGGGAGGGTCTGATAATCAAAGAAAGGTTCATTTGGTTCGATGGGGAGAGGTAACAAAGGCTTTATACCATGGTGGGTTAGGGATCAGAAACATTAGAAAGGTGAATCTGTGTTTGTTAGTAAAGTGGTGGTGGAGGTTTGGGGCTGAGAAGAAGGCTCTGTGGAGGCAGCTGATTAGCAGTCACTACAGTCACACTAATGGATCCTACTTACCTTTGTCTGGTGTATGTCATTTTGAATCTAGAATTTGGAGAGATGTCATGTCTATGGCTGTTACACAGCCACTAGTGGTTACTTATTTTTTGGATAACGTCAAGATTGAGGTTGGGGATGGTAGTTCGATTCTTTTCTGGTCTGATAAGTGGATTGGGCATTCAAGCTTGGAGAATCAATTTCCCAGACTTTTTGGTTTATCTACAGAGCCTCTTGGATCGTTGAAGTGGTTCGTTGATGAAAAGAATGCTAATGGTAGGTGGACTTTGACTTTTAGAAGACCTCTTCGCGCTTGGGAGGAGGAGGAATTGCTTTGTTTGCTCCAGATTTTGGGTGAAGGTCCTGATTTGAGGGTGAATAGTGAGGATAATATCAGATGGCTGTCGTCTCCTTTTGGGATTTTTCATGTTAGATCATTGTTTGGGTGGTTTCAAGCCGATGAGGGGCAGGCTCTGGAGTTGTCAAAATTTATCTGGTATAATATAGCTCCCCCAAAAGTCAAATTTTTGCTCTGGTTGGTGTGGAGAGGTAGATTAAAGACTGCTGACTTCCTTCATCGAATCGGTGTCCTAAGGGGTAACTCTGTTTCTCTGTGTGTGTTCTGTAAGTCTGTACCTGAAACTCTTCATCATATTTTGTTGCTTTGTCCCTTTGCTTGGAAGTTATGGTCTAGTGTAATTGATTGGTGGGGATCTAATTGGGTTTCTCCTAGTTCTGTTATTGAGCTGCTCCATTGGTGGGTTGGATTCAAGTTCAGAAAAAAGGAGCTCATGATCTGGAATGTTATTCCTTTTGCAGTAATATGGTCATTATGGAGGCTCAGAAATGAGTGTATCTTTAGGGGAGCTCAACCAAATTTGGAGAATTTGATTGAACTAGTTAAAGTTAGAGTGGTTTTCTGGGCTAAGGATCATCACATTGGTAGCATGTACTCATTTCATGATTTCATCTCTAATTTGAGTCTGATTAGGAGTTGTTTCTGAGTGATGCAGCTCGCAGGTAGTTTGGCTCCATTTCTTAAGGAATTGCTGCTGTTGTTCTTCGTTGCAGCTGATGTTGGTGGTTGGTTTGGTTGCATCTGCTGATATCTGGTGTTGATTGATGGTTTGGAAGATGGCTGCTGTATGATGTTATGCATATTGTAGGAGGGGAATTTCTATTGTTTCTGCTGGGTATAAGCAATTGGGTGGCCGCCGGTGAGCGGGTTTAGGAAGAAAGCTTTGGAGAGTTGTACTACTACTACTATGTATGTGAAGGTGGCCGTAGATGGAGCTCCTTATCTATGCAAGGTAGATCTGGACGCATATGGTGATTATCTAGACCTACTTATGGTATTAAAGAAAATGTTCACCTGTTTTACAAATACTCTGATGTGAGCTCCAATGATCGATACCCTAGGCCGCTTCAAAGGAGCTCCATTTTTCGATTTCAGATTTCCTTTACAATATCTCAGGGGTGAGGCAAGGTTTGGTATAGCTTGGTGAGTCCAGTGATGTGAGTTTCTGGACTCTTTGCAAAACTTTGATTCAGGTTGCTGTGATGTTCTGATCTTATGATCTTATGGCTGCTGTGTAGTCCTGGACTCTTTGCAAAATTCTGACTCAGTTTGCTCTGTTCTGTTGGTTGCTGGTGATCTGATCTTTCGGCTACTGTAGACCTGTTCCAATTCATAGGTTGCTGCTGGTTTTTGTCACCTATTGGGTTGTTTGATTGAGTATGCAAGATGCTGGGGTTCAGTCCTTAGGCTGACTGATCTGTTCTGTTCTGTTGGCTGCAAGTGATCTGTTCTTATGGCTGCTGTGGTCTGTTCTAATTTGTTCTTATGGTTGCTGCTCTGTTCTGTCCTTAGGATGAGTTTGCAAGTTTCTATTCTGTTCTATTGGCTGCAAGTGATATGTTCTTATGGCTGCTATGGTCTGTTCTGATCTGGTCTAACTGTTGCTGGTGTATCAATCTGAGTGTGAAAGCTGCTGGTGATTTGATTTAGTTTTGCTGGTGTATTGATCTTTCTTGCTGGTTTAGTTCTGCTGGTGTATTGGTTTAGTTTTGATCTGTTCCTTCCGTTGGTTTCTCACCAACTTGGGGTGCTTGCATATGATAGGATGGGCTATTTCGTGCCAACCTCGTTGGGATGATTTACCTCATTGTGATGCTCCTGCACCCCTCCTCTCTTTCTCTCTTTATTGGTGTAATGTGTTTCGTACCTTGTACTACATTGTCATCAATGAAGTCCCTTATTTTGCCGTTCAAAAAAAAAGCTGGTAGCTCCCCTCAATTGCATGCACGCTTAACTTGCATGCCTAGCTTAGCTTTCATTTTCAGAAATCTATACCGGGTAAATTACACTTAGTATTCCTCTATTTTCACTAAAATTTTATTTTTGTCCCTCCGCTTTTAATTATAGTATTCAACCCCTTATCTCACTCTTCTATCCATTTATCGTTAATAAAGTTAATCAAAATTAAAAGTGAAAGTTAATCGAAATTAAAAGTGAAAGGATAAAAGTGAGATTTTAGTGAAAGTATTGAGATTTTAATAAAAGTGGTGCAAATGAGAAAACAAAAATATTACATATACTTCAAATGACAAGTTTTGTCAACTTTGTTAGCCATAGACAAATAGAATGATAAGATTACAATTTGACTTCAAATATAAGGGATTGACTATTATAATTAAAAGTGATTAAGCTAAAGTGAAATTTTAGTAAAAATGCATACTACTTATGCGATTGACTTTTACTTACTCTTTATGCAGTCAGTCCCACTATATCTCTCAGAAATGGCTCCGTCCACATATAGAGGAGCAATCAGCAATGGCTTCCAGTTCAGCCTTAACATGGCAGCTCTATCAGCAAACCTTATTAACTATGGCACAGAAAAGATGGAAGGTGATTGGGGATAGAGAATCTCTCTAGCCATAGCAGCAATGCCAGCTATTGTTCTAAGTTTGGGAGTACTCTTCTTCCTTCCAGAAACACCCAATAGTCTAATTCAGCGCACCAATGATCATCAAAACGCCAAGTCAATGTTACAAAAAATCCGAGGCACCGAAGACGTTGAAGCTGAACTTGATGATCTCATAAATGCAAGTGCCATAGCCAAAACCATCACCCACCCATTCAAGAAAATCACAGAAAGAAAATACAGGCCTCAACTTGTCATGGCAATAGCCATACCATTCTTTCAACAAGCCACAGGGATTAGTGCCATCGCTTTCTATGCTCCAATACTTTTTCGAACCACAGGTCTAGGCAAAAACGCTTCATTATTATCTGCAGTATTGATTAGGTCTGTGAATGCTACTTCAACCCTCATATCAATGTTGATAGTCGATAAACTTGGCCGAAGAGTTCTATTTATGGTTGGGGGAATACAGATGTTAGCTTCACCAGCAATGGTTGGAAGTATCATGGCAAATAAGCTAGGGGATTATGGTGAGATGAGCAAAGGGTATGCTTTTGCACTCTTGGCTTTGATATGTGTATATGTTGCCGGGTATGGTTGGTCATGGGGTCCCTTAGGATGGTTAATTCCAAGTGAAAATTTTCCATTAGAGATACGATCAGCCGGGCAAAGTATTAATGTGGGTTTGAGCTTTTTCTTCAATTTCATCATTGCTCTGACTTTTCTGGCCACGCTTTGCTATTTCAAGTCTGTGGTTTTCTTCTTTTTTGGTGGATGGTTGGTGTTGATGACTGCATTTATATACCTATTTTTGCCGGAGACTAAAAACGTGCCAATTGAACAGGTGGATAGAGTTTGGAAGGAACATTGGTTTTGGAAGAGAATTGTGGGAGAAGAGCACGAGGTTAGCAAGATGGAAGGAGCATGAAATGGGCAGTCACAATTTAACTCGTCAATCTTGTGATAATAATATTTCACTTAGGGTTTGTCACTTCAACATGTCTTTTATCACTTCAGCCACATGTTCTCTGTCATTTATTACAACAACAATTACCTTAAACACCACAAATTTATAAGGAAGTGATGTACATGTTCTTTGTCATTTATTAGAACAACAATTACCTTTTCTTTTTCTTTTTCTTTTTCTTTTTTTTTTTTGATAGAAAAAAAAAGAAGATATTTTGAGGTGTCCTATACACCACAGACAAGTCCAGAATTCGAGCAGAATACAGAGTAAGATTTTTGCAGAGAACTACTGAAATTACCCAGCATTTCGCTCCCTTCAGAAGTCAAACTTGGGTCACGCTTGTGGAGAAAGATGCCTTCTCCATTAGGTTACCACCCCCGGTGGTAACAACAATTACCTTAAACACCACAGATTTATAAGGAAGTGAAGCAATAGACATGTGAAAATTAATCTAGCATTAAATAATTGAAACCTATATCAGCTACGTGCTTGATATGCAAAACCACGAATTAATTGAAAAAGGCGATGAGGTGAATTGGAGAAATTGAAGATGACTAACGTCAATATTTAAGAAAATAGAATCCATTATTGGCTACTCCATGAGAGTACGGTCACGTAGTATTTTATAATATTATAATTGATAAAAAATATGAAATATTATGATTTTGTGTTAAGTGATTGAAAAATATGAGAATGAGAAGTCATGGTGAATGGTGATTACTAAAAGAGTACGTACACGTGTTTTACAGGAAGTACCTAATAATTTTCCGAGAGGGGGAGACAATTCTTGAGAAATTTTGAATATTGTTAGATCAAAAATTATCTTGTCCTAAAAATTCACATCCTTATGTATAAGGAGTAAAAATTTCTTACTGATTTATAATTTTTTTTTTTTTTAATGCAAATCTCACTGATTTGATATTTCTCTTATTTATAATATATGAAAAAATTAAAAAGGAATTGAAAATTTTGAGTTAAATTTCAATTTGGATTGGATAGTGCAATGCAATATTTTGAAAATGGGACCTTTCATTGAACCAAAAAAAGGACTCGATGAAGGGTTAATGGTTCAACGGTCAGATCAATAGGAATAGAATCAGAATCAATTAACAAATAACTTTTTTTTTTTTTTTTTTTTTAGATGGGGGAATATTAATAATTAACTTATGTTTTTGACCCTAAGAATTCACATATACAATTAAATAATCAAAATGCAACACTTATTCCAAAATTTCACATGTGTTTACCTGAGAATCCGGATCTTCGGTCGCACTCTCCTGTCGCGCTCCCCTGTCGCCCTCCAAAACGACGTCGTTTTGGAGGGTTTTTTTCTTTTTCTTTTTTTTTTCTTTTTCTTTTTCTTTTTCTTCTTTCTCTTCCGTCTGTGTTTGGTTTTTGAAGAAGATGAGGGCATATTCACTGAACCTTCATCAAGAATGTCCTTCGAACTTTCCTTCGCTGATTCTTCCCTCTCCCTGATATTTAATGCTCAAGCCATTGCAACCTTGACATGTTGCTCCAAGAAATAAAGATATATAATAAATGCTTCGATTGAAGAGAGAAAGGGGAGGGAAAGCATACAGAGGAAAGAAAGAAAGAATACTGCAGCAGAGAACAACCCAAATTAATCCCTCGGCTCGGGTCCTCGCCGAAATCCTCATTGGAATTGCGCTTTCCTTTCGCCGTTCATCGGATTCCAACGGTTGGACAAAGAGTGGCTGAAATTGACAAACCAAGAAGGAGAGAGAGAGAGGGGCCGAAAATCCCTCGCCTTACCCGTATTCCAGAACTTGCATGTGAGCAATAAAAATTGAGCAATGGTAGAGGGCCCAAATTCTATGGCTCAAATAGCCAAAACGACGTCGTTTTGAGTACAAAACAACATCAAAATGGCCAAAACGACGTCGTTTTGGCCATTTGAGCCACATTTGAGCCACAGAATTAGGGCCCCCAAACATTTTTCATAAAAATTTTGGGAGGGGGGTTGTTTGGGAAGAAAAAAAATAGTCTAGTTTAGGCTAAAAATAAAAAAAAAAAGATAAAATAGGCTAAAATAGTTAATAAGATAAAATATCACATCAAACTTATAATCATTTCATTTTTTCTCTCACAAACATCACATCCAACTACAAAAAAATCCAATCATCTTCCCAATCACAAAAATTTTAGCCTACTAAAATAGTCAAAAACTAAAATAACTTACTAAAATAGACACTTCCCAAATGAGGCCTGTGTTTGGTTTCCTTTTAGGTCTCGTGCTGGAAACTAAACATTTTAGTAAAATAATTTTCATAAATTGTCACATCATTATTTTTATTTTTTATATATTTCTGTAGAATAATAAGTTAACAAGGTTGTTGATGGGAAAGGTTTAAAGAGAAGAACTTTATATTTTATTGAGGTGTATTGAGAGATCCATTTAAAAAATTAAGTAGAAGAGAATTGAGTATTATTTTGCTATCCTGGTATAGTTAAAAGGGCGTGAGGTGACTGATGTAGAATAGCTTGAGGGAAGAGATGCAAATTCCGAGGATAATAGGGGTTTACATCAAGAATTGATATAACTTATCTTTTACTCTGGCTCTGGATAATTTAGGAAGCATATTTGGGAAGATGTCTTATATGTACATCATTAATAAAAATGCTTTACTAGACTAAACTGTAGCAGCACTAATTTGAATTAAGGTAATAGGAGATACTTCATAATTCTAAAGGTTTGAGGTTGAGTACGATTAGAATATCATAGTAGAAAGGAGGATAGTTTTGCCAATAAATAGAAAAATTACAAAATATTGTTTTCAAAAAAATAAAAGGAAAAATGTTCAAAAATAAAAATAAAAAAATATTTTCTGTAAAAAATATTTAAAAAAAATAAAAATAAAAATAAAAAATAATTTTAAAAAAAGAAATAAAACAATTGATTTTTTTTATTTTTTAACATAGAATTTTGAAAAAAATTTGAAATTGAGTATTTCGTTATGAATCTTGAAATGATATTTGAAATTTTTTTAGTAGAATAATGATTCCAAAATTAAACCAAACGCTAAGGCTTTATTTGTTAACCATTTTATTTTTAATTTTCAGTTTGTATTTTCAAAAAATTTTAAAATTATCATAAAAACTTGTTGCGTAAACTTTTTGGTTTATAAATCAATAATTTCAGTTTGTAAACTTTTTGATTTATAAATCAATAGTTTCAGTTTGTAAATCTGAAAAAAAATATAAACTCAAAAAATAAGTTTATGTTGATTTTTAAACGGATAAAAAATGCGGAGCTACAGTAATGATCCATCACGATTTTCCATCCGTCGTCTTTCGACCTCAACTTGCTGTCCAATCACCACCACCGGTGGGCTTGGGTTAAGAATCTAACGTCAAATCAACCATTGTCACCAGTGACGAAGGAAAGCTCTTCATAAAGGAGTATAGATCTGGACTCATCGTGCACAGATCTGAGCCTCTTACCCTTCGGCAATCAGAGCTGGTGCTGCCGTAGATTTGGGAAACCGGCACTGCTGCAACTGAGGCTCTAGATCCATCGCCCAGATCTGTAACTTCAGATCCATCGTGATTTGTTGAGGCTTTGACGGAGAGCGGGCCGGCCCTGAGAGCCGTGAGCTGTGGGTTTGAGCCACGGCAGCGACAACATCGCTGATGGTTGAAGCTGAAGCTATTCTCTTCCTCTCCTCATCTTTCTATGTTCTGTTCTGTCTCTGTGTGTCTCTTTCTCTCTCTCCATATATATATATATATATATATTTTTTC